CTAATAAATATTCATAAAGACATCCATGTAGGTGCCAAGACAACATGTTACATGGACATGGATGGTGCCTATAGTTACATCCACAAATTGCAACAACTTTACTTAGTTTAAAAGAAAGTTGGGTTCTTAAAAATTTAATTATATAATAATCTTGTAATGATATAATAGTATATTTAATAATATGAGAGTGTCTCTAAATATTCTTAACTCTTCTACATCCCCGGTATTGTGTCTCTTTCAATGTCCACTGTTGTCTATTACATATACTTAGTGTGTATTACGATATTTACTTTACCTATAAATGTTAGCACTGCTTAAGTATAACTTTTCAAGACAGAATTTTTTCATGACAGTTATGAAATTGAATTTTTTAGAAAAGGACTTTCTTTTTAACTAAGTAAAGTTGTTACAATATGTGGATGAAATTGTAGGCACCGTTGATTTTCATGTTACATGTTGTCTTGGCACCTACATGGTCGTATTTATAAATATTTATATGGATATATTGATTAACTATTTTACTTTTTTTAAACTAACAAGAAACTGTTTTCTATTATACTTATAGATTTTTAATTCTGACAAGACTGTCAGCTGGGCAGCGTTATATTGATTTAATGTAAATATAAAGTCAATAAATAGTCATGCTCTATGATATTAAGTTCATTTCTAAATATTCATTATAGTGACTAGATAAAAAGTGAAAGGAGAATATAGTTATGTACAATTTCTCCAGATGTGATTAAAAAAATCATTTAATGTTACTTGGTGTAGTTTTTGCGAAGAATTTTAAACATGTAGTTGGAAAGATGAACTCACACGTTTTGGACGCGTCTAGTGCTAAGCTTCTGTATGTATTACAACGATGCCTTTGTTGAAGATGATATCTTTGGAGTTTCATTCTTACGTTGGACACTATAGTTGCGAATTGAAACGGTGCACAGTGGGAAAAAACGGATTTTTTCGTTCCAAAATCGTAGAACTCGCGAACGGAAATAGATAGATTCATAATTCTTTTTGGATGTTGTAGTTTACTTAATACAAAATATAGGAAAATTATAGGGGAGTTCATACATACATTGTTCTAACCTCAAAAAAAAGTCCGATTTTTGGTTATTTTCCAGAAAAATCAAGAAATAGGCTCAAAAAAAGAAAGTAACAACTGAAAAACATGTAAAAGTAAATACATTGATGACATTATATCCGAATGTTAATTTTATACTGATTTTATTTCTTATACTGACTCAATATAACCTCAATACACGCATGAAATGAAAATATGCCACATTGTTAAAAAAATCATTGTAAATCGTCCTAAAAAAATTAACATATGAATTATTTTTCCAGATACAAACATGAATTCCAGAACAAACCACTGTAGAATCGGAATTTATATTATTTTCCTGTCTTATAACCTCAAAAATTATTAAAACTTATGTTAGGAAAAAAAGGAAATTTTCTTCTATATTTAAAAATATTGCCTTACTGTAAAAAAATTTGTGTTAAACAATACTTATTTATGTAGCAAAGAAGAGAACTATATCTACAACAATAGTGAAAGTGACGTCGATGAATTAGAATCATTTAAGGAGTGTGATGAGAGTGATGATGAAATGTGTATATAATAAAAACGCTGCATAATTAGATAATCAAAAACTTGTTTTTTAATAATTTTTGAGGTAATAAAACAGGAAAATAATATAAATTCCGATTCTACAGTGGTTTGTTCTGGGATTTATGTTTGTATCTGGAAAAATAATTCGTATGTTAATTTTTTTAGGACGATTTACAATGATTTTTTAAACAAAGTAGCATATTTTCATTTCATGCTTGTATTGAGGTTATGTTGAGTCAGTATAAGAAATAAATTCAGTATAAAGTTAATATTCGGATATAGTGGCATCAATGCATTTACTTTTACATGTTTTTCAGTTGTTACTTTTTTTTAAAATCTGTTTCTTGATTTTTCTGGAAAATAACCAAGAATTGGACTTTTTTTGAGATTAGAACAATGTATGTTATACTCCCCTATAATTTTCCTATATTCTGCATTAAGTGAACTACAACATCCAAAAAGAATTATCAATCTATCTATTTCCGTTTACGAGTTCTACGATTTTGGAACGAAAAAATCCGTTTTTGCCCACTGTGTGGCGTTGGCTTAATGGTAAGCGTGCTTGTTACTGATACAACGCAGCTCTAGGGGTCGTGGTTTCGATTCCCGGTGAATGCAAATTTTTTCAAAAACTTTTTCCATCGGAAAAACTTCCTATGTAACCCCGGCTGTTTCGGGGCGGGTTTTTCCGTGGAATTTTCCTTTAGAGTAGTTCCAGGATTTCTTCCTTGCCCCGCAGCTTTTTAGACCTGGGTGAATGCGAAACAGTGTTAGGGCTATAGGTAGAGATTAGCGGACCTGATGCCAGGCGTTGAGCAGAGATCGCTGGCCTTACTGGCGAGAATTGGTCCCTGAAACATGGGGCTTCTCTGGGGATGCTAATTAGCCTGGATCCGATGCTTCGACAGAGAGCGCCAGCTTAACTGGCGAGGAGTGGATGTCCAGGAATAATGGAGTCTTCTCCGGGGAAAGGCTACACAGTGGCGAGTTGACCCGATGCACCATTAGTGCACATAGTATCAGCTTAACTGGCAAGGTATTCCACCGGAGATACTCACACTGTCCCTATGGTTTCAGGTAGGACATGAGGAAAAAGGTTTGGAAATGGGTGTGGCAATACACCCCCACACACAGGTGGTGAGTGGGTGGTCCCCGCGGCTAGGCCAGTAGGCTGTCGTGGTAACTCGGTAAAAAAAGAAAAAAAAAAAAAAAAAAAGTAAGTTATTGAAAGATATGAGATAGTGATAAGGAGTTTGTCTCATTTGTAAAAAAAAAAGTATTAAAATGATTGCTTTAATTAAAATAAATCACGTGTTTCGAAACGTCTGATTAGCTATGAATGCAGCTGTATTATTGCCCTTACAATTAAAGATTAATAGTGTATACAAAAAGGACGTAAGTGTCCCATAAATCCCCGAAACCAAGACAAAGTTTTTCGTGAAAATTTTACGAATGAATCTGATACAATACACTGTTCTGTTATAAAAAGACCTTTTGATGAGTTTTAACACATTTCATATAAGCCAGGAGAAAAAAATTCTCCATTCATCCATCCATGTGAAACCTAAAGGCGGTTCTTTTTCATAATACAAATGTGTGTACTCTGTTGCCTTTGGTTCATTCAACTCCAGTCAACGAATAAAACTTTAACATTAAAATGACTTTGTACATAATAATATAAAGTAAGCAGACATGGTTTGTGAGAATTTGAAAATATTGTCTACAATACAAGGGCAATAGTCAGACTTTACCAAATACTCGTGCTATCATTTCATGTTTAATAGTGTAGACGGAGTGCACCACTATAAAAGGAATGTACAGCCATAAAAAATGTATTTACATCTGATTCTAGCAACATAATTAAGTAGCTTTTTTATAGATCCTGACAAAATTTTTCTTTCTCTACTGCATATTAAGTTAAGATTGATAGAAGAATTTGTAAAAGCTCTCGAGAAATAAGGATGCTAGTTTGAATACTTCAAAAGCATCTTTTGAAGTATTAAAAATAAAACGTTGGTTAAATTAATGGCTGGTACCTTTTATAAACCTCAAATTCAGAAAATCTTTGTAGAGATGAGGAGTTTGTCAAAAGCATAAATGATACCGAGGGTGCGTAAATCTGGTTAAGCATTCAAGATGAAGCAACGAAATTTTTAGGGAATAGTAAAGTTAAAAAATGTAAAAACAACAATGAAAATAAGGCTACAAACCTTAAAAGCTTAAGTTGCTTAATAAATTAAAGACTTAACTTACTTTATTCGTTAATTAAGTTTCCTTGAAACCTTGGCGATTGTAGTGAAGAGCAAAGTATAAAATTTTATTAAGATATAAAAGAATTTGAATGTAAGCGGTAAGGTAATTCAAGCTTTAATGTGATGGCAGATGTGGAATGTTTAAAAGAGATGCAGTCCTAAAAAAAAAGACGAAGAAATTCATTTCATACATCTTTTGACAACAAACTCATACAAAAACATCAACAAATTTAGTTCTTGTAAAGTGAGCTTCTTTTCATTTGAAGTTTTAACTACTTTTACTACTGAAAAACGCTTATTTAAACAGTTTTTTGAGGTTATATACGGAATCAGTCAAATCTCTTTTTCAATAAGAAATTAGAATTTTGTCTGTTAAAATACGTTAGATTAGAGTACTCTACATATAAAAAAAACAATATTATGTTTTTTTTTTAAACCTTACATACTTAATAGTGCCGTTTCTCACTGTTTTTCAAGGTTATTTTTGAAACTTGATGTACGACTTGTAATTTTATTACAACAATTTTGTATATTTTGACTCATCAAACAAAAAAAATGTTAGTTTTGATTCTCGAACAATAAATTTTTTTGACTTAAAATGATTAAAAATTTTGTTTTTAAGCATCATAAATGGTGGTCATAAGAAATTTTTTTTTCTACAATTTTTTACATAAACAAGAAAAAATTCACTAAACTAATAATACTTATTCTTTATACTTGTTAATTGTAACGATAATTTTTTTTCAAAAAATTACCGTCGTTGACTTTCACTTTTTTAAGATAAAGTCAGAATTGATGAAAAGAGAGTATAAATGAAATTCTTTTTAACTATGGAATGTACGGAGTGAGGATGTGTACAATTATGTTAAGAAAAAAACACTTTTATAACAGTTATAAGTTTTATTTATGACCCTTTTTAAAGTTAATAACGTTAAAAATGTATAATATTTCACTTGTTTCAGCTTGCGAATTTAATAATAATTTAGATGAATTTGGACATTTACAGCAACATATCAATGGAGTTGTATTGAATAATACAGATATCCTAGAGGAAATTCAAAAGAATTTTAGTAAAAATATGGAAATCATCGCAAACAACGTCTCAATTTTGACTGAACGTGTTAAAGAACTGAAAAACTGATTTGGTTCCACATCTTTAAAGCTTTTCGAGCATAATCTGTTGTCAGATAATATTATGTCTAATTTTGTAGTTATACTACATTTAATCGAGTTTTATCTTGCAATTACTTATAATTATAATCACATAGAAATAAATAAAAGTACCAAATTGTATTACTTGAAATTTTATTACTTTAAAGAAATAAAGAAATAAAAGGTATGTTGTTAAGGATAAAGGTGATTTTCACGTATTTCCTTTTCTTTCTGTCATCAATAAAAAATTATAGTATCGGTTGCTGATGTTACTACACTGACATACTGCTTTAAAATGGTTTCAGGATTTTATCTAAAAACATAGCTAATGAATTAAGCTAAAACAACATTTCAATAACATTTTTTACCATACTTCTTTCCATTTATTTTTTTTGTTAATCTCAAACTTATCAACAGAGTTTAAATGCTAGTAATCGTTTATGTACATAATTTTTTTTAAGAATGTATACAATTTTTTTTACTGAATTCATAACTGGTAATCTGTACAATAACTTGCATAAATACTTGTGTGCAGCTGCATTAGTAATCCTGAAACATTTGAATATTTTTCCATAGCATACCTAAATGTTATGCAATACACCTGTGTTTTTGCTTCTACTTATAACTGTTAGTTATATCACACAAAATATGTTTTATATTTGTTTTTCCTAAACATAAGTGTTTATTTTGCTCCCTTGTCTTGCACAAATAGTTACGTACACTTTATGTTGGGTAACATTCAATTGTTATTGTAAATAGTAAATATGAATGTTCATGTATAGTGAGCATTTATGTTTATATAGTCTAATTTCACTACTGTAATACAAATAAGTGCTTATCTGGAGATCTTAAGTGGTAAACTACTTTAAATAACCACATTATAACTTTTTATTATAAAAATATGAACTTCAGGGTAAAGGTGTAAAGTATAAATTTAATAATTTTGACCAAATAACTGTCAAATGCAATATGTATCGCGCACTTATAATGTTACTAGGGAGTGATTTCTATAGTTTTCTTAAACGTCGAAATACTAAATAGTGTAAATAATTTCGCGTTAAATAAGTTTCAATAAATATTCTCCGGTTCTTCATGGTACCACTGCGCTTCCTCAAAACAAAAAAAACTGCTGTTTTGCATTGTACATTACTAGAGATGATTTTATGTGAGTGTGGCAATGATTACTCTTATCAAGCTGACCAATTCCAATTAAATCAGCCCGTGATTAAATGAGTTAATATTTAAGACCAACATATATTATCAGCTCGTCAAGTCTGTACAATAAAAACTTAAAACCTGTGCCTTTCTTTGATAATAAATATACTAAATAAAGATTCATTACAACAATTTTTTGTTTTAAGAAAATTTCTTAAGAAATAAGTAAGAATAAGAAAAATATCTTCCCCGGGTTCTGATCAAAGACACGACCTCCTGTTCACAAGACAGTTACTCTTTCGCTTGTGTGTTCGATTCACACCTGGGGAGGATATTTTTTTTATTCTTACTTATTTCTTCAGAAATTTTCTTAAAATACAAAATTTGTGAATTTTAACTATAAATCTTTAGTATGTTTGTCATCGTAAAATAGCATGGATAGTCTTAAGAGTGTTTACATAAAAAAGAAGTACCGCCATCTACATATGCACCAATTGATACAAGGATAAATGTATGAATATTTCTTGTACACCGACTAGGGTCAAATTGTATTTCTAATTCATTTACAAGCATTCGAATCATTTTTTAATATACCTATTAATCGAGCTTGAGATAAAAAACAGCTCAAAAATAAGGAATGGGAAACTATCTAAACCAATGGTGCTAGTAAACGTACAGCTTTTCGGTAGTTCAAGGGGTAGAGTAACTGTCTAGTAAACAAGAGGTTGTGTATTCGATCCTCACCCGAGGAAGATATTTTTCTCATTCTTACCAATTTCTTAAAAAATTCTCTTAAAAAAAGAAGATTTATGAACTTTGATGATAAATCTTTAGTATATTTACTATCGACAAAGGGCATGAATGGTTTTAAGAGTGCTTATAAAAAAAAAGGCCGCCATCTACGTATGCGCTTATTGATGCGAGAATAAATGTACAAATATTGCTTGTATACCTACTAGAGTCATATTGTATTTTTAACTTATCTACAACCATTAGAATCACTAAAAGATTTTTATAAGAATATTAACTTTCCAGTATTATTAAAATTCTGACAACTTCTCTTCAGGAACCCTACAGTTAAAGAGGTAGTGGAGAGTCAAAAATTAATGTACTTACAGAATTTGAAAAAACTTTCTAAAACAACTTTCAAATCGCTAATTTTTGTAAAATAAAGCGATGTCAGCTAAGTGGTAACCGTGCTTAGTATTGATACAATACCGATCTAAGAGATATGCGTTCGACTTCCAGTAAATGTAGATTTTTTGAAAAAGCTGTTTTCATTGGAAACAGTTTGTATGAACTCGGGCTGCTTTGGAGCGGGTTCCTCAGTGAAACGTTCCTTTAGTATGATTTCAGGGATTTTTCTTGCCTCGCACATCTTTAGGCCTGAATAAATTAAAAACAGTGGTCGAGCTTTACGTAAGAATTTAGCGAACCTAATGCCAGTTCCTAGGTAGGAAGCGCTGGCATTACCGATAAGTCATAAGTAATTAGTGATAAGTAATCCCTAAAGCACAAGTTTTCTCCGGGAATGCTTTAGTAAAGAGAGCCGGCTATACCGGTGATAAGTAAACACCTGAAATATGGAGTCTTCTCTGGGGAAAGGTTACACAGTCATAAGTGGACCCGATGCATTATTGATGCAGAAAGTGTCAGCTAAACTGGCAAGATAGGGATGTGCGGTAGCGAGAAATGCAACAAGATCTTCTCGTCTCGTCTCGAAATTTTCGGGTCTTAGTCTCCGAAATCTTGGTCTCGAAAATTTTTTCAAGTCTCGTCTCGTCTCCGTCTCGTCTTGAAGTCTTGAAAGAATTCCCAAAACCTTCAAGACTCTCGGAAGTCTTGAAAAGTGCTTTAAAGTTCCTGCATGTCACTACCTCCAGTTACATCGAATCTATGTATAATGACTTCCACTTAGTTGATATTCAGGGTGATATTAAGTAAATGCCGGGTATTTCCTGGACTCCTGGAGATCCTAATATTGGTATGTTCTATTAAGTAAATGTAGAGTATTAACTGGACTACCAATGATCTTAATATTGGTGTATCGAAGGTTTATAATGTATTGAATGGAGCTATTGATCTCTATGTGCCAAAAAAGTCTTTTAAGTCTAGTGCGTATCTTCTATATTACTTGCCACACTTCCAGTGTCTTATTATTTCCAAAAAAGACTGCACAAACGATGGGTATCGTCGGAGCTATTAAGTCACTTTCTCAAGCTTAAGCATATTAGAACTGAGAACACTAGATTTCTGCCTAAATGTTATAATAGCTTTAATTATGAGCCTTGACTAAAGTGTTAGTAATAAACTTACGGTTTCGCATGATAGTCTACTAGTCTAGTTTCCGGGACTACTCATCCATGACCTATGTGTAGTGATGGATTGCCACATCCATTTCATTAATCACCTAACTGACAGCATACCTATCATATCATGGGCGCATAGAGAGTTTCTGAGACCTAGTACCGTACAGACATATCTTCCCATAGGCTTGTGTGATTTTGACTTCGAGACGAGACGAGACGGTCTCGACAAAAGAATACTGAGACTGTTCCATTGGAGCTCGGAACACACTTTTGGTAATAGGAAGAGTTAGAGTTAGAGTTAGAGTTATAGTTAGAGTTTTAAGGGCCGTAGGTCCAGAATAGCCTTGACAAGAGAAGTACATGACAGACAAAATAAGTGATACATTAGAGCTGCATTGCATCAAAAACATGTGAACATAGGCACTGGTGCAGAAAATAAGTACAAAGTAAGGTAATTAAAAAATAAATGTATGAGTAAATAAAAATTAAGTAAAAAGAAAAAAAAAAAAATTTGACGACAGGAATAAACATTTACATAAATTAACTACAGACCAAGGGTCGTGTAGCCGGCTATCGCGTGAGACAATAAAGTCCAAAGTTTCTGTTTAAAGCTGAGTTCAGAGAAACTCATACGGAGGCCGACGGGCAACCTGTTCCATTTCCTGTCCGCTGCAACGATAAATAAAGTTTTGAACATATCCAGAGAGGCTTTAGGTATGAAGAGTTCGTTGATATTTGATCTTCTGGAACAGACTGAATCTGACAGCGTAGTTTTAAATGCGAACCTATTCGCAAGGTACGTAGGAACTCCAGCCTTGAGGACACAGGCGAACGAACTAAGCATGCAGTAGAGGACCCTGCTGCAGAAAGACCGGATGTCATGTTTACGGTATACAGGTGGGATATGTTCGGATTTGTGCATGTTCTCGACAAAACGGAGAGCGGCATTTTTGCATTGTCCCAATTTAGTCGTCATCTCGGCTGAAAGTCCGTAAAGCAACGCTTCACAGTACTCGAGTCGTGGAAAAACAAGTGATTTTACGAGAAGTAGCCTTGGATCACTAGGTATGCAGTCTTTGAAGTGCTTGAGTTTTGCAAGCGCAGAGAAGCAGCTGGCGGTGATGGCGATATAATGAGGTCTCATAGTAGAGATGGGTCGAGGAACACGCCGAGGAGTTTGATGGAGTCACTGGTGTCAATGATGACCTCGTTCATTTTGATAAGAGGTAGAGTTTGGCTCATTCTATTCTTAAATCTCCGGGTTCCAAACCAAATGGTCACAGTTTTTAGAGCCGGTTTTACTATTAAACCGTTCTGTTCAGCCCAGATAGAAATTTGTGATAATACGGAGTTTACTAATTCGATTAGACGCTTGGCCTCTTTTACATGGCCATGAAAATAGAAATAGAAATCGTCAGCGTAAATGTGGTATCCACAATCCTGACAGACAGCAAGTAGATCATTGATGTAAACAGAAAACAGGAAGGGTTCGAGTAGACTCCCCTGCGGTACATCGAGGCTGCGAAACAGAGTCTGAGAGAGTTCACCATCTGGGGAGCGGAGAGTCTGTGTACGATTTAACAGATAAGATTCGATCCATTGCGCGGCAGGATCTGAGAATCCGTAACATTTGAGCTTATTGACAAGTAGATCAACGTTCACAAGGCAAAAGCTCGAGTCTGATCAATAGAGACGAGTAGGGTGATTTGATTCATATCCATGGTGCTCGACGACAATGTTAACAAGAGCGGTATAGGTACTATGTCCTGACCTACAGCCTGACTGATGACTGTCGAGAATGTTTCTGCTGCTTATGTGATCCAAAATTTTGTAGAGTGCAATTGCTTCAAGTATTTTTCCCCCTGTGGCCAGGATGCCTATAGGCCTGAAATCCTTAGCAGCAACAGCTTTGTCTTTATTGGGTATAGGGACAACAGTGGCATGCTTGCATAGAGTAGGAAATATGCCTGTCTGGAGCGACGAGTCGAAGATGTGAAGCAGAACAGACATGATGACTAGGGAGAGAGAGAGAGAGAGAGAGCGCATCGGATTCGATCGGTTAATTCCGATCTTTTTCAATCCTTTTCGCTAACTCTTGTTCTCTTTCTTTCCCTCCCTCTCCATCCACTCAATGCGTGGTAGGATTTTCTTACTGGCATGCGCAACTCGGTAGCAGCAGTTTATTAACGCGCGCGAATTGGCTCTCCGCATTTTATAGAAACGACAGCAAGGGAGATGAGCAGAAGAATTTTGAAGGCTCAACGGTGGCGTTAAGTAGTACAGCAGCTCATCTCATCGCGTTCGCTTCGTTATCAATTATCTAGTATATTGCTTCTCTCGCAACGAAATTCTCTCTCGATTTCTTGTTCTTGCTCTTCCTCGTGGCCAAGCTCCTGCAGCCACGAATTTTGCAGTTTCCACCTCTTCCAACCCGGCACCGATAGAACGTCGTATCCTAGTGACGATAGTGTCTGCCCACCTGCTCTCGCCGGCGTGGCTAATCTTCACGCGCCTGGACTGCAGCCGCACGCGCTGATGTCAGGATTGTTCACATCCCGAGACGCACCTACACACACACACACACCCCACTCTCTCTCTCTCTCTCTCTCTCTCTCACGTGCCTGCGTACAGTTTTACCTTTTATCTCGCGATTATTGCAGTTAGTTCCAGTGTTAAATACTTGATAAAATTAGTGTTTTATTATGTTCACCCGATACCCCCTTCAATATTTCAACTACTTGATTTCTCCCACGTGGGGAGCAATCAAGACAGGTCACCACTGACCACTCAAACAGAGACCGAGACCTAATGAGACGAGACTTGACAAAAAGACCTTCGATACTTTTTAAGGAGTCTTGGTGTGGTTTCGAGGAAAATTTTCGATATTTTTGAATTTTTTCAGTGATTAACGAAAAGCTTAGACTGCGGTCACGTACATGTCTACGTGGATTGCGAATAAGCTCACACGATACAGTTATACAGGTTTAAGCTTTTTATGGTCCACATTACATATACATTTCACAACTTTTCTGGCCATAGTCGCAAGCCACGATCTGACGGAGCGGCAATCGACGAGGCGCTTACACCTACAAAAGAGAGTGTCATGTGCTCGTCAAAGGTGGTAGGTCACGGGTTACGTAATATGCGTCAATGCTTCGTTACGTTGTGTAAAGCTCATGAGACATTTGGAAGCGAGGAAAAGGTGCGTGAAAGACTAAATCCTCTGACCTTTCTCTCACTCTCACGATTTCAAGCTATACGCAACTTAGTAACGCCATGACGCCTTATGAAACACACGGACTATCATGTCCGTCAGAACGTGGCCTAAGACATTAAAAAATAAATTACTAAATAATTTTGAAAAGAGATGTGATGCGTACCAAAAAAAGCTTAAGCCCCTTTTTCGCAATCCACGTAGACATATATGTGACCACAGTCCAAGCTTTCCGCTGATCACTGAAGAAATTCGAAAATATCAAAAATCTTCCTCGAGACCACACCGACACTTACAAAAGTATCGTGGGTCTTGAAAATTTTTTCGAGACTTCCGAGACTCTCCAAAAAGTAAAAAAGATCTTTTTGTCAAGCCTCGTCTCGTTTGGTCTCGGTCTCGGTATTTTTTTGTCGAGACCGTCTAGTTTTGTCTCGAAGTCAGTATCGCACAAGCCTATGGGAAGATGTGTCTATACGGTACTATTCTTCTAACATATATCCAGAATTTTTATCTCCTATAAATACGCCAATTTCAGTATTAGCCTCCTTTAAAATTGGACTCCGAGCTGCCAGTTGAACTGCGCTGAAGGATTTCATAGCCTTAGCAGTACCCCAAAAATTTAAACGGCAATCAAAAAAAGTGTTGGTATTATTTTTAACATAAGAGTCGCACATGCCACATTTTCTATTGTATGACACGTAGTCTAATGCTTTTCCAGTATAATACCCTAATATTGCACAAAAACCACTTAGACTATCATAGGCGTATCCATTGGAACGTTGTACCCAGCCCATATCAAAAGATACTAATAATTTGACAGTTTGTTCGGGATTCGTTATAATAAAAGACCTCCTATCATCAGCTATCCTGCAAAAGAAAGGGAAAACAGTGTACACTTGGCTTGGCGTTTTTTAAATTTATTATTTTCAGCTATAGATATAAGAATTCCGAATCATCTTCAGAGGCATGTAAATAAAAATCAATTAAAAGATTTAAAAATTACATAGCCCCTCTGTCACCTATTGAGATTAACGAGCTTGTAGGTATTATCATTGTAAAAAAAATTAAAATAAAACTTATAAAAAATGTATACTTGTAAATCAATCTTTGAGTACACCATTGTTATAATAAAAGGTAAAATAATAATAAAATATAAATTGTAAATAATAAACAAATCTCAAGTGTATAAATCAGTAAAAATTCAAAGTTGAATTTCATCGTACTAAAATATTTTGTGTGTATAATGATCAACTATAAATCATGATATAATATAAAAATTATGCTGTTTATTGGAGCTGAAATAAGTACGGACTTTCTTAAAATATCGGAAGAAAAAAAATATGCTCAGTTTGGGAGCATAATTTTTTTATACATCATGAGTCAAGTTTTTGTGGATTGAAAAAATATGTACAATAAACTCAATGTCTTATGATTATTCAAGACCGTCAGCTCTTTTTCTTCTTGAACTGCTTTAACACAACTGGACTTGGAGACTTTTTTAACAACATTTCCAACTTCTCGTTCAGTTTTTTCAAAAGTACGATTAGTAAATCCGGGCAAACTCATGATCTTGAATACACTATTGACCTGTATATGACCAACAACAGTGTGTAAACCTCCTAAAATCATAAATATCAAAGTAAAAGACATTGTAAACATTGTATTGTTTCTTAACTTGCGTAAAACTGCTTTTGCATTAACCTCAAAGTGGTTTCGGCCAATGACAAGACTTTTGTATCGCTTTGAAGTTTTAATTTTAGTTAATTTTGACCAATTACTACAACTAACATGCCAGATAGATCCCAAAGCTTTGATTTCTTCATTCTTGATGTTTCTCACATCCAGTCTCATTTTGCAAGAGAACAAAACATTCGTTGATTAACATGACTCAGAACACCAATCCTGCCGCCTTTGATAGGAAAGTTTGAAGATTTTTCTTCATGATTAGTTTGCCTGTTTTCAGCACTATGTGTAAAACAATGATCATTTTTGTTGATTGTTTTGTTTCCAGATTCGACAGTATTCACATAAACTTTTTTTTTACGATGCGTCCACGGTTATTTTTTCCATTCACACGTCCAGCATTTATTCTGTTTAACGTTCCTTTTTTACAAACTGGCCTTTTTATTACTAATACCTGGCATTTTTTTATCAATCAAAATAACACTTTTTACTCTACTCACTACATCAGACGAAAAAATAATACTGATAATCATAACAAACACTGATCCCAACTCAAGAAAAAAAATCTCTGTCGATAATGTTGCGTATTTCCTAAACCTCTGCCTCCGCTTCACCGCCCGTCTGAAAGACTGTATCCAACCTCCTTAAATTATATACACAAACTAAAATAGAAAACAACTCGAGTGGGATCCCCGAAAGACGCTCGAATTTATCGAAATTTACTCAGACGAAACATTACCAAACGCCTGCACCACTACTTGCTTGCAAACCAATAAATAAAATGTGAACTAATCAAAAAGTTCCATTCGTTTTATTGCCGTTTCGCAATAAATATATCCTGACTGATGGAATCAAACGCTTTTTCAAAATCTACGTATACCGAGACAGTCTTTAAGGCGCCATCAAGAGCATCGGCAATAATATTGCAGTCAACAATCAGATTTCTGAGAGTCAAGCGCTACCGTTGAAATCTATGCTGCTTATCAACCAATTCATATCTGATCATTAATAACACTTTCTTAGAAATGATTTTGTCAAATAGTTTGGCTACAATTTTCTGGATGGAAATTGATCTTTATTTTGAACATTGGACTTATCACTTTTCTTTTAAATGGGTATTTCATGAGACAATTTCCAGCACTAAGGCATACAGCGCATTCATAATGAGCGGCTAAAACGCAGCAAATGTTCAGATATGACAGCTGTGTAGTCGTTGATAAACGACATAGGACAAAGATCTGGGCCCTTATGGCTATAAACTTTTAAAGCATTTATCACTTTGTAAATGTCATTAATGGTCAGTTACAAGGAACTAAACTGCCTCAGCTCTAACGATGCAACTCTACCGTGGTAAGTAAAACTAAACTAATCTGGAAACAACCTAGCCTTTTCTACCACTGCTGAGGTGCTGTGCCCTCTAGTTATAGTCACAGGTAACTTTTCTCCACTTTTAAGATTTTTTGTATATGTCTTAAAGCATTTCATGTTCTAATTTATATTATATCGTACTTCATAATTAGAGCTATCATAAAATTTAGGCAGAAATCTAGTGTTCTCAGTTCTAATATGTTTAAGCTTGATAAAGTGACTTAATAGCTCCTACGATACCCATCGTTTGTGCAGTCTTTTTTTGAAATAATAAGACGCTGGAAGTGTGGCGAGTAATATAGAAGATACGTACTAGACTTAAAAGACTTTTTTGGCACATAGAGATCACTAGCTCCATTCAATACATTATAAACCTTCGGTACACCAATATTAAGATCTTTGGTAGTCCAGTTAATACTCTGTATTTACTTAATAGAACATACCAATATTAGGATCTCCAGGAGTCCAGGAAATACCCTGCATTTACTTAATATCACCTTGAATATCAGCTAAGTGGAAGTCATTATACATAGATTCGATGTAACTGGAAGCAGTCACATGAAAAAACTTTAAAGCAAGCTGGAACATTGTTAATATCAGCAGCTATAAACTCGTCCAACCCTGGCACATTGCAAACACAGTTTGCAGATCAATTTTCGAGTGCATGATCCAAAGGATGTTTGTTTGGAAAAAATTATTTAATCTCCAAGAGCATCATGAAGTGTCTAACCTCCACAGCATATTC